TATTATCAATTATTTTAATAAGTACTATGGAGAAAAAGGACATCGGCATCGACACATGTATATTGTCCAGCTTTAGATGCCAGTTAAATGTAGAGCCATAGGCAGCCATACTAGTGGTTAAAGGAGCAGTTTAATGATGGGAACAATGATGCTGTACAACAGCCACTCAGCTCCCTCTACTGGCCATGAATAGATACTGCAAATAAATGAGGAACAGTGTAAGGCAAATTGCTGCATCAACCAAGGGTCTTCTTCATTGTGTAAATGTACAGCTTTTAAAACTTTTAAACCAAATAATAGTTTTTGTGAACATTTTTGTCAAAAGAAGTCACGAAAAAGTATGACGAACAACGTTGTACATAGTTTAGTGTATCAATAAATAAAAACATACTTATTATGTTAAAATAAATAGTTAGTATGTAAAACATATTGTAAATAAAAAACGGCTTAGTATAGTATGGCGAAAATATTATAAAAAACGACATAGTAAAGTATGTCAAAAATAATTATAAAAACGACATGGTATAGTATGTCGAAAATATGTAAAAAAAACACAACATATAGTATATCTAAATTATTAGAAAATGACATAATATAGTACGTCGAAAATATGTAAAAATTGACATAGTATGTGAAAAAAATGCAAAATAACGACATAGTTATGTCGAAAATATGTAGAAAACAACATAGTATATGGTATGTCGAAAATATTATAAAAACGAAATAGTATAGTATGTCGAAAATATGCAAAAACATTGCATAGTATAGCATAAATAAATACAAATGTTATATAATGTTCAAAATATTAACAAAACGACATATTAGAGTATGTAAAAAAATATTAGAAAAATGACTACATTCAGTATTTCGAAAACATCAATAAATCAACATATTATAGTACATTGAAAAATATCAGAACAAAAACAATACAGTATAGTATTTTGAAAATAGCGTACAGTATAATAGAGTACAAGCACACACACATTGACCAGTAACGCAATACAGGATGTATTGTACCTTAACATGACACAATTCCAACATCACTAATACATACATTTTAAAACATTATCAAGCTTCATAAAAGATTTACAGCCATTCGGACAGAGCTTGAAGGCAAGTTCACAAAGATACAAAAAAACGTTGTATATGGTGAGCAGGTCATGCTTTACATTTATTTCTGTACGCAGGTTACACAACAACAAATCCTTTATTGAAACCCCAACGTGTGTAGTTTATCTTTATATTAGACATTACTGTATATTAATGCTCCACATATTTATATGGCAGATTTACAGGACACAAATTCTACAATTGTAGAACTGCATTTCAAGGAGCTTTTAAAAGACTCCTTTATGGCACTGTAGTTGATTAATTCCGACACACAACAGATAAATAGACATTACGCTGTGTTGTAGATGGGGAACATCAGACAGGAGTAAAAGCAGGGTGCAGATTTACAGCCGAGCACACACACATTAATCTTTCAGGAGGATATTTCATCTCCCTGGCAATAACACAGACTGTTCCACGTGCTCGCTGCGTGTGAGTCACCGCTCTGAGCCTGCTGTTTGTCATCCTCCAGAGACTGAAACAAAGACGATGTATTACTGAAAGCACCATTTAGAAATCCTCTTAGCTGCCCATGCAAATACATTGTGTATGCTATTGGCTGTATTGTGTAAATGACATGCTATAACGGGGTGTTATTAGAGTAATTGGGCGATTAGGCAACATTTGGTAGCTTTAGTTTTGGTTAGTATAGATAGCACTATTTCTGGAGCTTAAATGAGAAGAAACAAAACTAACTGCAGCATGAAACTGATCAAAAATATATACCCACATGTGTATTACAGTAACAGTTTTCCATATTAACATGTGGAAGAAGAAAACTTGTCTTGGGATTTGTGTAGGCTTTCTCACAATTCTCTCATACTCTGTAAAGAAAATGATACAGGTCATATTAAACTTCACCAAACGATTTGAACATGTGGAAGATGTTCTTTGTTTTCATATTATGGAGGATTAAGGATTGAAAAACCATGAATAGTTTGCCCTGCAGACGTTTCTGAAGGATCAACATGAGCCCTGTGTATTCATAACAGACAACAACAAACAAACCAAAGGCTAGAGGGGATGTTAGAAATTAAAGTGTGTTCAAATATGTTATTGCATATGGACACCAGGAAAACTAGTACTGAAATAAAGACAGTGGTTGCCATATCAGATTATGCAGGATTAAAGGACTTTAACTTGCAGTATTACAAAGGTGACACTAGAGGGCGATAGCAGCACACCTATAAGAAAGTATGGAACACAGTTTCCTGAAATATTACAATTTTAACCAACACTTATCTTTTTATGGGTTTTATAAAACTGCTTTACAGTTATTTGGCAAGCAGTGAGAGGAATGTGTGTTAAAAATATATTTTGTAGCTTCAAATCCTTTACTTATAAAAGTATTAATACCACACTTTAAGCATAGGCTACTCTTTACAAGATCAAGCTCATTTAGGATATTACCAAAGTATCACCAAGAAACTGTTCTTGAATTACAGAACAATATATATTTCTCAGAGTAATGGCCCAAAGAAAAGTACCAATGTATAAAGTAGCATATTGTGTACATCACAGTAAATAACCTTTACATTTCACCATTGCTTTTATACAGCAATAATTACGTGTGAAACTCTTCAGAAACAAACCAGGCTAGATTTAGTACTTTTCCCTTGGGCTTCATTCCATGCTATTCTTAGACCTGAGATCATGAGTCATATAGATATGTGATATGAAAAAATGTCATCACATATCCAGATGGCCATCATCTGGAGAAATTAGATTTGCCGTTGAAAAAAGGAAAGAGCCTGTAATATATTCTATCTGTACGGTTAATTTAGTGCCCTCACAATTTGTTACTGATGCATCATTTACTTTGACTCCCCTTCCGAACGAATTGGATCATACAAAAACATTTTTGACTGAATGTTATGAATCACAAGATATGCTCTTTATGTTACCCAGCAAGTTCTAAAGCCTGTTAAAATCAATGTCAGGCTGGAGGGCTTTAATTCGCTAACAAGTCTCATCTTGCTCGTAATGTGGAATCTTTAGAACAAGGTTTTATCTTTAATTTCAGGGTTATTTATGCAGAACAATCCACTCTGAGTTTGTTAAACTGGGGTTGCGGCTAAAACTGTTTAAGGAGCTCCCTCAGTATAAACAAATCGAAGGGCTACACAAAGGTCAGATTTCAATACGCGCGTTTTAAGAGTGTGTATAAACTTGCTGAAGAGTTTTGAAAATGAAAGGACGCCTGCGGTGACAGACTTATGAATTTGTAAATAAACGACTGAGTCATGGTTAAAGATTACCAGCTTCTCTTTTATTGAAAAATATAGCTGTTATTTCAAAGAAAGGAAAATGAGGAAGGTAAATATATTAATATACTGTAAAACCAGAATAAGGAGTAGGAAAAGAAAAACAGTACAAACTCGGCATAACACTACAGCCACTGAATAGGAAAAAAAGAAAAAACATTCACAGCAGAACTCTGAGTAGGTTGTTTTTCACGTCCTTATCTTTTCCCGCCACTCCAAAGCAAAGCTGTCCGGGCGCAGACAACTTTAAGACCTGGGGCAGAAAGAACTTGCAAATTATTTAAATAGTTTGTTCTGGCCTACTTAGGAGTGTCCTAAAGAGAAACAAGAAGAATGCCAGCAAAATTAAGAAAGTACTTCAGCGTAATTTAGTATACTTTCCCATGATCCTCTATTAACCTCTTCTACTTGCGACAATTTGGCCGCAAATGTGCCATTTAGTGTTGAATCCGCTAACATTCCCACGGTGGTACCACATCGTCACACTGCTGATAACAACCAGTGTTTAATGTAATCATCCATGGCACTAACTATATTTACATGACTTGATTAAAAACAACGGCAGATAAGGAGTGTTTCTGTTCTCTTTTTAGAGTGTTCATTTCTTGGCGATGAACGTGAAGGACTGCAGCAGCGCAAACCATTTCGTTCTGGACCAATAGAAGTAAAGACGGCTTCCATTGTGGCTCATTGGCATCAACATGTGAGCTCTGACTCTGTTTTGCATATCTACACATAAGTAACAACACAATCATACACTGAACAACAATATAAACGCAACACTTTTGTTTTTGCTCCCATTTTTCATGATGAACTCAAAGATCTAAAACATTTTCTATAAACACAAAATAACCATTTCTCTCAAATATTGTTCACAAATCTGTGATAGTGAGCACTTCTCCTTTGCCGAGATAATCCATCCCACCTCACAGGTGTGGCATATCAAGATGCTGATTAGACAGCATGATTATTGCACAGGTGTGCCTTAGGCTGGCCACAATAAAAGGCCACGCTAAAACGTGCATTTTTCTAATGCTAATCAGCATCTTGATATGCCACACCTGTGAGGTGGGATGGATTATCTCGGCAAAGGAGAAGTGCTCACTATCACAGATTTTTTCAGATTTGTGAACAATATGAGAGAAATGGTTATTTTGTGTATATAGAAAATGTTTTAGATCTTTGAGTTCATCATGAAAAATGGGAGCAAAAACAAAAGTGTTGCGTTTATATTTTTGTTCAGTGTACATCCTGCTAACGTTACCCAATAATAAAGTTAGAACATACTTGGCAATTTCTTCTAGATTGCTTTTAAGACAAACTTCTTTAAACCGGTTTCTGTTTGGAAACATCACAATAACCCGAGGCAGAATGGCACAGCATCCTGATCCTACGTGCACACCCCCGCGTCAACAGGAAGTTCAAAAACCTGGCAATTAGTTTCTTAACGCCAAATAAAAAAGGGTCATATTAACCGTGGATACCTTATTTAGACCTGTAGGAGCCTGCATCGTAGGAAAGAAGAAGCCGCACACCTGCCCGTCCCTGACCCCGCTGTTTGTGGAGCCGATCCAGCTGGTTGGGGGCCAATAATGCAGCACATTTAATGAGTAGACAGAGAAACGGCCAGATGATGGGTTCATTTAATCATGTGTTCCTACCGTGTGATTTGGTTGTGTACAGGAGGTATCACTTGTGGGGCCAGTTTAGGAAATATCTGACGCTGCCGGGGACATTCCTGATGCTTTATTAAGTAGCTGCGCTCTAATAACACACTCTCTCTTCCCTTAGAGACGCGCCTGAACACATGTCTAGAGAGAGGATGTGTGTTTTGGATAGAGCCCTAACTATTCATTTGAATATAACAATTTGTCTACAGCGACAACTCCCTTTCAAACGCTTTCATGCCTCTCTTTGACCTGCCTATCATACACATCTGAGTGATGATGTGGAATGAGTTGTGAAGATACAAAAATAAACACAACTTCTGTATTGTTGTTGAAAGAAAGTACATGACATTTTGTGAGCTAGTACAGCCTTACCATGACAGTGACAGTAGGAGTGATGTGACTTAGACACTTTAATGTCTAATTGAATCCAATATGTAAGTGCTAGGCAGCCGACTTCAACGTAAAGAAGCTGGCTAACTCTTTAGTTCAGTTAAGACGTTTTTGTAAGAAATTCAACGTATCAGAGAACCTTGAAATCTAAACTTTTAAGACCTCGCAGTGCACATTTAGTATGATCCATCCCTTACAAAACATGTTGAATAAATACCACAGCTCTCTATGGATTTAAAGAAGAGCGATTTAAAAGAGAGACGGGGGCAAAATGGTAAACTACCAAACTCAAATACAAGAGAGCTACTGTAGACCAACTTCCAGATACTCTATTTACATATTATAAAGTACAAAATAATCACCCTTTAAAGTCACACTTGGACAAAAGTAGGAACCTACTTTATCTATTTAGTGTCTATGCCAAGATATGGCAAAATGAGCTCCATGATCACTCCCACACATTACAAAGCTATCAGAGTTCCACTTATTTCTCTTTCCCTCTTTCTTCTTCAGAATCTGTAGCACACGTCCACATCTGGCTTGTGACTTCACGTATCCTTCTCCTCACATTACGTAACATACCCCAAATGTGATATTCATTTGATTGACAGCTGGGGTTAGGGCTCTTTAACCATATTGCCGCCCTTTACTTATTAAAACGAGCAATGCACCTTTGAGAAGGACACGGTTCCGAGCCAGTCTTATTATAAAATGGAGAATTCCTCAATAAGTTCAGAGTCTGGTGTTGCAAATTAACCCAAACTTTGCGAGAGTTTCACTTTGTGAGCCAGTCTGACACGCTCTTGGCTCATATCTCCTTGCAACAGCACGGTGAATAAGGCTTAATTGGTTTTTATTTATGATGTAGAACAAAGTGGGCAGAGATTAGATTGATCTACAAGAAGCTTAAAGCAGATGTGGCCCTGCTTCTTAATCCCTCCACTGCCCTTTTCCAGCTTGGGCTTTTACATTAGTGTCCTTCAAGACTGTTCGTGGCAGTGATAGGTAAAACATCTACACTCGAATCTCATCATCGTCATCATCCATGAAGGTGAATTCTCGGTCTTCCTCCCCACGTGGCGAGCTGTACTTGGCACTGTCCGTGTCGTTGTCGTGGAACTGCGGTTTCTCCTCGGTGGCGGAGCCGGCGCTGGACACGGAGCAGCTGTCCAGGTTGTGGTGGTTGTTCCTGGGGTGCAGCTCGGGGGTGTAGGGCTCCACCACGGGCTTCTGCTGGTACATGGTGCGGGGGGGCCTGGAAGGGGCCTTTTCCTCTGCGTCATCATCATCTATGTGGGGGATGAGGGAAGGCGACGCCCGGCCCTCGCCCTCCTCGTAGCCGAGGTCGTCCTCCTCCCAGCCTTTCTTTTCCATCACGCTCAAGATGTCCCCGAGCATTGAGGGCCCCAAGTCGATGTTGAAGGACATCATGGACTCCGCGTGCTTCATTCCGCCTCCCTTGGGCATGAATGGAGGCAAATCGGTAAGTTCGCCGAAATTGCGCTCTTCAAACTCTGCATCCAGCGTCGCCATGGCTGCGGCTCCGTTGGATGGCTTCTCGATCTCCGACAGTCTCTTCATGGGGCTGGAGGAAACGCTCTTCGGCAGTCGTTGGCCTCGGTTCCCATCCTCTTCGTTTAGGTAAGGCATGGATATGGCGTTTTTGACATAGGCCGACGAACCACCAGAAGGCCCCGTCATGGTGTACTCATATTTGTCGCCCCGGTTTACTGACTGAGAGCGCTTGCTGCTTCTGAAGGTGCGGGACAGCAGACCTGGTTTGGGCACCGGGGAGCTCTGCTTAGGTTCCGGCTCCCTGGGAGGTTCCCCTGATCGGGTGCTCAGAAACGAAGTATCCCCGAAGGCGTCTCCTCCGCGGCCAACGTGCATGGTGTGGCGGAAGTCGCCCAATGGAGCGCTGATCATCTCGGCGGTCAGGTCTGCGCGGGACCGTCTCTTGGACTGGTTAGAGTTGTTCACCAGCTGCTTGAGGATCGGCATGATGGCAGTCTGTTACTTATAATCCACAGAGAGAAATGGAGCTAGCTTCTGTAGGAGTTCAGAGGAGTTCCTTCCAAACTTATTTGGCTGAGGTTTTGTCAAAGAAAGTATAAATCCAGGTGTTTAATGTGTGCAGCCATTCTGGTCCTTCAGCTCAAGTTTCCTTCCACCGTCAGATAAACCTATGAAAAAGAAGAGAGAGCATTAAAGCCACATCAGTACTCTGATCCTTGGCAGGAAGTGTGGAATTGTTCAATTAATAGCATTTTATTCTGCTGAAAATTTGAAACACCACTTTAAATGCTTCTCTAAAGAGCTATGTCTATTCCTTTCTCATCACCCACTATCGCATAACTGGCTCTGTCCCGATCTGCCCTAAGTATGGAGACTTTCGTTGCCAGGGCTTCAGAATGAATCCTCACTTGAGTGGTTCTTAACTAATGAATGAAGTCTTTGAGGGTGTTATGTAATGGTAAAGAAATGCTTTCTTGTACAAAGTTCACAGCACTCAAAACCAGTGAAATATCCCCAATGAGGTTTACCAAGGCAACTATTCCCATCCAAATTGTGCTAGTACCATTCTTCTGGTACATTTTAAAGCTCTTTCTAAAGATCCCTATAATAGGCTGCTGTCACTTTCAGTTTTTCAAGTAGCTGCAGTGTCCGATGTCTCTGCTGTGCTTTAGTTCCCATTTAAGCCCCCGACTGTTACATAACCAGCAAGACACAGGATACTCGGAGCAAGAGCAGTTCAAGCTGGCAGGAATAAAACAAAAAAGCCTTTCTTCAGCATGGATCAACTGACTGCTCAGAAAGTCCAGATCTGCTACATTCTGTTCTAACCTTCCTGTCACCAAGAGATTAGATGTTTCCATCGGAGGCTCTGTGCTTTTCTTCAGTTTGAGCTTTTGTCTCTTTTGTCTTGAGAGCGACATTTAAGCACCTCCAACATCATATTTTGTTCTGTCTATCACTGAACACACATCAATGGCCACGTTTAACCTAGCTTTGTCTATCATCTCTAGAGATGGCAATGAACGTTTTTTTTATGCGATGGAAGCAGGGTGCTCTTGATTTAACGATTCTTAAACTATGAATTATTTTTATGCTGTGTATGTAATTTATTATATGTAATGCCTTGTCTTTTATCTATGTAATGTCTTGTCTTTTATCTGGACCCTGAGTCTGTAATAAAGTTTTCATAACGCAGCTCACTTTGATCCTGATGATATTTGACTGGATAAGCAGATAATATGGCTCATTTCACACACTTGTCCCTAAGTCACCAGTGACGCAAGCCTTGAAATGTGATCTTAAAGCAGAAAGAGTGGAGAATAGGTCTTAACACCCACTTATGTGCTGGTTACACTCTACTGGATCCATGTGTTTACTGACATTAACAAGGGTTCCAATTGTTTTAGCCAGACAGCAATCCCGCCATTCTCCGTGTTTTCAGACTGCAGCTGAAGCCCACGCTCTGGGCCCGTATACGCATCCCCACAGTGAATGAATGGGGGCTTCACTCAACAATATTCCCAAAGGAACGTCACCCATGAAAACATTTGCATCTCTGACAAGAACCCATTGAATTAGAAAGGCAACTGTAGCACTAGAGGGAACAGAAGGGGGTTTGATAGATGATAAAAGCTAGCGCTGTGTTTTTGTTCACAGCTTTTTCAGAAAAATATGTCATTCCCAAAGAGAACTGAACTCTATCCACTGCCAAAGGTTTGTACCCTCTATATTCAACAACTTCATTCAAGCTGTAGTTCTGGTGCTGTTGAATGGAGGAGATGCACTGTCCCAGCAACAAAAGCCGGCCTAACAAAGGGCAAATTCATTTACAATAGTACTTATTTTCAAGTTCTATTGTTAAAGCTAGTTCAAGTTCACACCCTGATACGTGACAATTGGAATGGGCTTACTGCTACGAAGGCTATTCAAACAGCAACTGGATGCCAAATTGTAAGATTATAGCGTAGAGCAAACACATTCCCACAAAGTCCCTCTAAGCGGAGTCCTAGTGCGGTAGCCAATTAGCATCCGCTGCACAAAGGCTGCCGAATGTGTGACTGACCACTCAAGACAACTCATCTGCAATGTTCCTCCCCACTGCCCATAGTTTTGTGTTTCTCTATGGCAACGTCAGAGCAGAGCACTGGCTATGGAGCGAGCTTCCTGTCTCTAAGCCGGCCGGAGACAGCCAGTGAGATTTGATCCCCTACATGGAGAGATCATTCAGATAGATTCAGATGGATGGATTAACCCTTCCTGGTGGCCACATGCAGGGCAATAAGACAATGACTACGCTGCTATAGCTGAAGGGGAATGCCTTTGATGCGCCTTGTCACCCGAATACATTCAAACCCAGCATAAAATATGTCAGTGGGTGCTCGAATATCAAAAGGTGCCAGCCCCACACCTTTAGTTCATTCTAGGAAATGGCCCATTTAATGTCTTTTGAGGCCTCTTGGTGTTTGACGAGGAATAGTTCAACCCCCCCCCCCCCCCTCTCCAGGATCATCAAGACCCCATTATTGTAGGCATGACAAAAGATGAAGTACAGCCTGCAGGCAGCCCCGTCATATTCAGTTCTAGCATTTCAGCACTCTTCAAAAGATAAACCATGAAGAATGACAGTGTTATGTGTTATGCATTCTCCTGTTTCAAACATTCCAGAGACCATTTAAAACGCCTAAAAAGGGAGCACTAATGTTGCGTATAAAACTGGAGCCGTGGTAAATGTTCTTTCACATAGAGCGGAGAATGTATGCTTCTCTTTTTTCCTGTTGTTCTGGGAGTCTATCCAGGCTTTCTCCAAATATATTAGGCATAAGGGTAACGATACCTGAACATTTCTACAATATAGACTGCTAAATACTTATCATATTTAAGTACAACGCTAATAAATCTGTTCCGTTAGCTTGGAAGAAAGATTGTGTCCAATGTTGAGGCTTTTTATCAATTAAAATGTTGTGGTTATTTTTCCTTCATATTGAAATGCCAAGATTCTGTCAATTGCAAAGGGTAAATTACAAACTCCACCTTTTGGATTAATGTCATAATTATTAATACAGCAAGTTTATTCTCATTTCAGAGTGTGTGTTAGAGTGTACTATTTGACATCACTGTATCTTTGGTTTCTCGACTTTTAAAGTAGGTAATGGCTGTCTCTTGGATTTCGTGAACATACAGAGAATACTATACAACTCACTCAAACATAAATGAAAAGGTTATTTCTCCTCAGTGTCTAGACCAATAGAAAAACATACAGTCGCCCCTCTCTTGTTTGCTCATACATTGTGCTAAGGTCAAACGGAAGACTAGGGATTCCAGTCTGACCTGTATGGCTTCCACTACACTCAGTTCAGCTGGGGGCAGAATTTCATCTCCGCAACAGGCTCATGGAGCAAAACAAAAAAGCAGGTTATACAACTCAAAGATAGCAATCACTTTAACACAAACATACAGGTGAACATATTTGCTGTAGCCACTAGATAAGCCCAAAGAGGTATTATATTGTTTGTTTGAGTCGAGTATATTGCCTCAGCCATGGTGCCAGCCCGTGACGAAGCCTTTATGTAACAGAGCTCTCAAAGTGCCACATGACTCCAGCACGAACTAAGACAAGTGGTGACAGGGCCATGAATGATTAAGAGCATCGTGTCACTGGCAGGCTCTGAATGACATCACAACAACCAGCATGCTCAGCAGCGTTCAGTCTCGCTCTTGTAATCCTGTGGATCACAGGCGCCACACAGTCCTCGGCTATCCCACACCACTTTCTCTTCATTCACCCCGATGAGCAGGGGAAAGAGGCTTTGGCTGCTCATCCAATCACAGCTCGCCTACTGTCGAGTTAAAGCAACAGACGTGCACCGACTGCGAGACTTTCTGGTTTTATTTTAGATTTTGTTTGAATCTTTTAAAAGGAGAGGGAGAGTCCATCATTTATTCACAAGGTAGAAGCCTTGAAGAGTTACAAGGAGACATAAACAGTGCAATTACATAACTGTTATGTTAAAAAATGCCTTTTCTGCAGGGAAAGGTACAATAGTGAGCCTATGAATCAGTTCAAAACAAATGTATCAATACCAACATATTCATGTTAACTGACTTTCAATATGCAGTTACAGATGTTCCTTTGGGCAAGCAAACACTACTAAAGCTATGTTTTACCAACTCTTTTCTTCTCCAGCTTTCCCCCCATTTTTCTAAACTATGATTTTCAAAACAGAGACCTTGCCGTGTGAGCAACAAGAAAACCTCTGCTTTGTTTAACCTTGAATCTGCTTTTGTTCCGGCCTATTGTCAGCACTATTGATATGCAAATGGCAATAAAGAGTCAGCCAACGGCATCTATGACATTGCTAATCAATTGATGCATAAGAATGGGAAGTTCCCAACTCTGACAAAGAAGGTCGGCAAACTTCATTTGCAGCTACTTTGTGAGGCCCATAACCTCCAGCCCAAACATCTGATTCCCACGGGGGAGAGGACGCCGTCAGAGCCAGAAGCAGAGAAATAACAACACGGACCAGTCTGTTTATTTTCATCTTCCTTCAGAATTGTCCCATTGTCATCGTGCAAACACAACAACTGTAAACAAATATAATAAATATAGAAATGTTTGCTATCAAAGAGGCTAGAAATGAAGGAATTAGGAGGCTTCATCCACTATGTATGAATGTGTTTCCGCCTCTCATCATGGTGCTGTAGCCTTGGTGCCAGCTCATTAGCACGGCGCCGTTTCTCTAGCCGCCTCAAAGTTTCCTCCAGTCCGACATCTACTTATTGTCCTTAACTCACCGCACAGATAAAAGATGAAGAAATACTCGACACAAACTCAGCCTCACGTCGCATTACAACACACCTGAAAATAGAATCAATCTAAAGTAATGATACTGGATTTAGACGCTGACAATTCATAACTATTGAATTATTCTATCATGTTATAGGTATTGAAAATGGAATCCAATGTATATATTGTTCTAGTTAATATAGAAGTAAGAGATTCCAGTATCATGTAAACACTGTCTGACTGGATCACAGAATGTGTGACAGTAACATAAGAATGGCAACCTGTTACACATAACACTCTAAAATAAGCCATCCTTTGTTGCCTCCTACGGAAGAAACATGTTCTTCCTGTTCGACTTCATATCTAGTGACACACTGCAAG